GATGATTTTCTGAAGAGGGAAGATAATATCATTGAGTGTTCCTATGTTGAGATTTTTTCTGGTTTCATGCAGTCCACATAGGGGAGAGTAAATAATTCTAGCTAAATTATTATTATTATTTTTTGAGACAGAATCTCACTGTATCACCCAGGCTGGAGTGCAGTGGCGTGATCTCTGCTCACTGCAACCTCCACCTCCTGGGTTCAAGTGATTCTCCTAGTCTCTGAGTAGCTGGGACTACAGGCGCACACCACCATGCCCAGCTAATTTTTTTTTTTTTTTTTTGGTATTTGTGATAGAGACAGGGTTTCACCATGTTGGCCAGGCTAGTCTCGAACTCCTGATCTCAGGAGATCCACCCACCTTGGCGTCCCAAAGTGCTGGGATTACAGGCGTGAGCCACCCAGCCCGGCCTAGCTAAATTATACTTTGTTTACAGATAGTTGATAAACTGTAGCCCACAGTGGCCCTGCTGTTGGAGGGCTGATTTGTGAGAGATATAGAACTAGGTCTAGATGTTCTGTAGCTGGAGCCATCTCTCTATGTTTAGGATACTCAGAGATGTGAAAGCTTTATGATGGCATTGTTGTACTGTCATATTAGGGTGTAAGTTATCTGCATTTCTCAAGTGGAAGCTCATGCCAGTTATAATGCTGCTCTCAAACCTAACAAAGGTATATGAGGAGGGGTTGGTATGTTTTCAAAGAATGCATTTCTGTCTTTATCATTTTATTAAGATAATCCCATAATAGACCTATTTTAGAACGCACTTATACATTTAAGGTTTATTCTTATATTTTAGCTACTTGATGTTTGAGTAATTCTGGACAGAAGAAATACCGAGTTAATAAGATAAAAGACTGGTAGCTGGGGCTGGGCATGGTGGCTCACCATGCGCCGAGGCGCCGAGGCAGGTGGATCGCCTGAGGTCAGGAGTTCAAGACCAGCCTGGCTAACATAGTGAAATGCCGTCTCTACTAAAAATACAAAAAAATTAGCTGGGTATGGTGGTGGGTGCCTGTAATCCCAGCTACTCGGGAAGCTGAGGCTGTGAGCCAACATCACGCCATTGCACTCCAGCCTGGGCAACAAGAGCAAAATTCCATCTCAAAAAACAAAACAAAACAAAACAAAACAAAAAAAAGTGAGATGGGTCTCTTGGGAGATTTCAGAGAGTGCAGATTAGAAGCTTAATTTTCTGGTGGCAAGTGCCTTAACTTTGTATTAAGGAATTTATTCCTTTTAAAGTAGTTTACATGTGTTAATTTAATTCTTATAATAACTACATAATAACCATCTCTATTTGGAGCAGAGAAAACAGGGACTGCTTATTTATTGGTTACTTCAAGAAAGTTTTATTTCAGTGTTTTCTTTAACATATGTAACCTGTCTGCTAACTTTCTATACATGCTTATTTTGAAGAGGACTATAGTTTTATACAGTTGCTTTTTAGTTACAACTTTATCAAAAAAGTAATAGAAATAGCATGTTTTAGTCAAGGACAATAGGTATATGTGTATCCGTGTAGTGCATATATTTTTAAGTATTTATAGAGTGTAAGAGTGTAATAGTAGCTCTGTATAGTAACAGTCATTGTATGTTTTTTAACCTTTCTAAGATTTCATTCCTGTACAAACAAGCTCTGTGAAATTATTATGGCCAAAATACCAATGTTTGTCTTTCACCTAATTTATCTGCACTTCATAAAAATGCTTAAATATTACTTCATCATCCTTAAATTTGCTGTGCAGTATGTGAAGTCTATGAACTAGTTCTTGAATATTTATGAAGTAATTCTGATTTTTTTTTTAGGTGTTACAGGCTCTTAGGAATATTTAGCTTAATTTGGAACAGGATTCTCTATTATTTGTGTGATTTTTCATTTTTGAAAACCAAGTTAAGAGTAAATCCATCTATGTATAATCTAGTTACACTGACATCAGTTTTTGTATCTTTCTACAGGAGTTTGGTTAGGCATAACAGTTCTCATGCTTCACAATATCCTGATTGAAATGCTAGGAAAAGTGCTTTACAGATAATGCATAGCATTGTGTATACATTACTTATCCCCTATATAAAATTCTGTTTTACAGAATGCATGGGTAGTATCAGCAGTTGCAGTTTATAAAAAAGAACTAATGAAAAATACCCTTAAGAGAGTAGGTTGTAAGCATTCTCGCCAGAAATAAATGATTCTGTGAGGTAATGTATACGTTAATTAGCTTGATTTCTGCAGTCGGTGCCTGTGTCAAAACATCGTACTGTATACCATAAATATAGATAATCTTTATTCATTAAAATAACTAAAATGTAAAAAAGAGACATAACTGTCCCTCAAAGGTTAGACAGTGAAATAGGATGAAAGTCCCAATTTGATTATTTACTGGAAGCAATCATCCTTATCTGGTAGGCCTAATGGAGACAGTCACTTTATACCTTACTTGGGCTATGGAAAAAAGTGTGTAAAAATTTCCAGAATTTTAAAACAAAGAATAAGGGCAAAAAGTACTGGCATATGTCTCTCAATAAAAACTCAGTATTTCCAAAAAATAATCTTAAAAGAATACCCTTTCTTAACTTTTCTGTTATTGTTGAGGAAAGTTATTTTACAGTTTGTTTATTTGTATGAGATTTGTTTGCTTTTTAAAGGTGTAAGATCAGTATTTTAAAATACACATACCAAATCCATGTAGTATAATAGTGGTGATAAGCTGTCAGTTGACAGTTGAGCAAGATAGAACTTAAATCTTTTATACTGGCACAGTGTTAGCCTTAGGTAGTTTACGCTTCTCCTTAAGCAGATTTGTGCTTGTAAATAGTTTGCTTCAGAATGAATGGGGCAGGTATTTGGTGATAATGATCCCCTGGGGTGGGATGCTGTTAGACCATTAGCATAATGTGGAATATTGTTAGATGTGCAGTCTTGGATAGTTCCCAGATTGCTCCATCAGAATCTGCATTGAAACAAATTCTCCTGATGATTTGTGTGCACATTAAAATTTGAGAAGCCTTCCTAAAGAAGACATCAAATTTAGCATCTGGGGAACTAACACTTCTCTACTCGAGATTGCAAGAATATAAAGATTTAGAAATTATTTATTAGAATTATAAAACAAATATTCCTCTTAAAAGTATATTTCTCTTTAAGATTATTCATCTTTTCTGGAATAAAATGTTTTTAATGCATTTCTGTACTGCTGTTCTTAATCTTACCTAGCAGAGAAGATAGACTTTGCTTTGTCCAACCTGAATGAGCGAGTCTGGTTATTGTTAAGTCTTCCCTAAGATAGCGACAGCATCTGGATTTGCATGAAGTCAAATCTTGTGAAACAGAGGTAGAAAATTGGCCCTGACACTGGGATGGCATTGCATGTTATTCACTATTGGGCATGTTTTGTAACACCAGGGATACAGACATCCTGCATCCTAATTAAAAAATAAGTATGTCCTGAGTGTCTATTGAATTCAGTGTGATATGGAGTGGATCAAACCCTTCCTCAGGGAGTGTATGGCCAGGTTAGGAAGTATTCTTGAAGGGCACATGCCTTGAGCAGAACTATGGCATTCTGAGATATGATCATGTGGATCCATTGTCTAGACTTTCTCCAGCTGTGGTTAAAAGAGGGATTAAGAATATAGCATTCTTTTCAGCCAGTTCAACATTTCCTATCAAAGTAAGTACTGTCATAGTATATCAGTATATTTAAGGGAAATTAGAATTTAGAGCAAGAAATATAAATTCTACATGTAAGTACCTTTTCCTAACAGACTTAATGTAAAATTTTGTTGTGGCACACTCTACTTCTGAGTTTTCCAGTTTGCTTTAGGGAAAAATCTCTTGTTTGAATTCTGCTTCCAGTATTAGAAACTCTTCAATGTTGCTCAGCTTCTGAGATGGCCCCAGGAACTCATTGACTTTTCTGGTGATTGCTTTAGTGTGTCATTTTGCTTCTTGTGGATCTCTCAGTACCAACCAAGTCCTACTCAGTAGTGTGAGCAATAAACCACACAGGATGGGGAGCTGTTCATGTTGAACCCTGCGTTGGGCCTGGCTCTTACATGGTTACTGGTGGTGGGGGTAAGGGTGGGATCTAGGGTTGAGGGGCAAGGTTTGAAAACCAATGCCCTAGCGTAAGAACACTACCAAGACTACTATTAACCTAAAAACCTACCTTAAGCCCCCTTTTTAATATATGAGACTTCTTCTTTCCTGAATTTTTTTCTTGCCTCCCTTAATCGTTATTTCTATCCAGTAGTGTAGTGTTTGTCTCTCTTGCACAGGTGACCAGAAACTTTGGAGGTAGGAGACAGCTGCTCATAGTCTCTAAATGTCACTAAGTGCCTTAAACATGTGGAACCTGGAACAAAACATTGAAACACAAAGATGCCTTCCAAGAACATACACTTTTCTGCCATACAATTGGCAAGCACATTACTGTTATAGGAGAAAAGGGAGCTTGCCATAAAGTTTCTCACAAACAAGGAACTCTAAGAGAAAGATGATAGTGTGGTATACTTTAAGGTTGTAAATGCCATTTTCTTAATTTATTGTGTGGAATGTATTTCTATTAGATGTTTGTGTATAATACTTAAAGAAATACTAACAAGGGTATTTATTGGTTCATTTATGCCACAGATCTTTTCCTCTGCACATTCTCAAACTTGAACTTAATTCTTGAGAATGAAGAGACACTGCTGTATACTGTAATTTATATTAAATTGTGATATGTCCTCCATTAAAAAGACAATATAGCCTTATTATTAGAGAAAAGCAACAGGACACCTTTTGTTCGGGATTTCTCTGTGGAAAATACATTTTGACTTAAATAGGATTTAAATGGCAACTTGATAATAGATAATTTTACGAGATTGCTCAGTGTTCCACTTAGGGATTAGTTTAGATTTTGTTGTGTCATGATTGTACAGAAAAGTGCTATGTAATCATATCAGATTGTCCCACACCATGCCTAGTGAATACTTGTGCCACTTTTGCTCTACAGGAAAATGACTCAGGCACTTTGGACACGGTGGGCGCTGTGGTTGTGGACCACGAAGGGAATGTTGCTGCTGCTGTCTCCAGTGGAGGCTTGGCCTTGAAACATCCGGGGAGAGTTGGGCAGGTAAGTAATTATGGGTTTTTTAAACTAGCATTTCAAAGTAAAGCATGGAATTTTTAGCTCACAATTTTTTTTTTTTTTGAGACAGAGTCTCACTGGAGTCTGTCTGGAGACTCTTTGCCCAGGCTGAAGTACAGGGGCGTGATCTCGGCTCTATGCAAGCTCCACCTCCCAGGTTCATGCCATTCTTCTGCCTCAGCCTCCCGAATAGCTTGGACTACAGGCGCCTGCCAACACGCCTGGCCAATTTTTTTGTATTTTTAGTAGAGACGGGGTTTCACCGTGTTAGCCAGGATAGTCTCTATCTCCTGACCTCATGATCCACCCACCTCGGCCTCCCAAAGTGCTGGGATTACAGGCATGAGCCACTGTGCCCGGTCCAGCTCACAATTTTTTAACCAGTGGGAACATTTTTTCTTTAGAAAAAAATGAATATAATTGTTTTTTAACATCCAGTATAAATCATCAACCAAATACCTTTTTAAGACTGTTTTTAAGAAAACCTATCTCATAGTAATTGGTTTGTTTCTCATCTTTACAATGGGTGATCCTAGTTTTGCCACTTTCAGCAGGTTGGGCACTGGCCTGGGTATTTAGTAGAAATTTCATAAATGTGTGCCGGTTTCCATTTGCTCTCTGTAAATATCACTCTCTTTAGGAACAAGCTCTACTTGACTATCCTGCTTGCTTTTTACTTGGATAAATGATTTTAGAGTTACATTTTTTATTTCCTCTATTCCATGTATAGGGACATTTGGCCCTTTACATCCCTCCTCTGATCAAGCATTTCAGCCATTTTATAAAATAACCAGTATTTCAGGTCACCATCACGTAGTACCACTTAAAAAATCTAGAAAGGAGGATGCTCTAATTTATGTAAAATTTGCTTGTCCCCAGTTCATTTGCACATCCTCTTCACTTTGCCCCTCCCCCCATCTCCCGTCTTTAGTTTTATACTGAGAATGAAATTTAACAATCCATTTGATCTAGGAAGATTTCTGAGGATAAACCAGTTTTGGCACATTACTTGTGGGCTTAATAAATATTTGTTGAGTGAACAAATGAATTGGAGACTCTCATGGACTAGTTGCAAGGGTTCATTTAAGCTCAGTATTTGGGTGGCATCTTACACATGGAATGTGTCTTGTTATGCTTTGTGTACTTTGTCACATTTGAAGAAGAGTCAATGTCACAGTTACTTTGTTCATGACGATTAGTTACTATTTGAAGCAGAGAGATCCAATTCATGGAGAATATCACTGCACACCCCAAAGTGATGTTGCTTGATCTGCCGTAAGCTGCTTACATTCCTAGACTAGGAAAAAGAGGAAGGGAAGAATAATGAGTTCTGTGCTACTCTACCGAGTGTACAAGGGGCTGTATAGGGAATGATTACTCCACGTGTACAATGCTTTCAACTCATTGTAAAAGCCTTTGTCTGGCCATGGTATTTTTCTTGAGTTATAAAGTCCTGTGTATTTGTCAAGTTTGCAATAGGAAAATCAAGCTTGGCATATCAGATTTGGATACCCTAGTAGAGAAGGTAAGAGAAAAGCCAGCAGAGTCACCTTTGATGCATTATAGTCCCCATGACTTTCTCACTGTTTTCTGTTTGTTTTGGTTAGCAAAATAGCAACAACAGAACTAAGGATGGTTCTGGACTATGTTAGCAGGATATTACGTCTAACAGTCTTGAAGCTATTTTGCCCTTGTACTTAGAACTGTCCTGAGCAAAAGAAATACTTCTGTAAAATTTATGTGTTGATTTGCCTCACTTGGCTAGTTTATGAATACGCAGCTTCTGAGAGTTATAAAATCAGGAAAGAGTGTGAAAAAAGAGTAAAAGGGCTTATAGGAAAATGCAGTTGCTTAATTGGATTATAATGCTTGGATAGAGAAGATGTAATAAACTTGAAACTATGTAAGTATCAGATGAGAGGTAAAGAACAGTTCTTTTTGACAAGCCCAAATGAAACAAAATACAAAAGTTAGTTATATCAAAGGCTAATTATTTTTTAAAGTGTGCTGAAACTAGATACTTTTAATGTATGTTAAATGCACAATTAACTACTTAAAAATTTTAGCATATTACCCTGCTGTAGATATGTGATAGCAGTGCAGATGGTGAATGGCAATTTGAGGCCAGGCGCAGTGGCTCGCTCCTGTAATCCCAGCACTTTGGGAGGCCGAGGTGGGCAGATCAGTTGAGTTCAGGAGTTCAAGACCAACCTGGCCAACATGGTGAAACCTCATAGAGAAAGAGAAGTAGAGAAGGTGAGAGAAAAGCCAGCAGAGTCACCTTCAATGCATTATAGTCCCCATGACTTTCTCACTGTTTTCTGTAATCCCAGCACTTTGGCTTATGCCATCACTACTAAAAATACAAAAATTAGGCCAGGTGCAGTGGCTCATCCTGTAATTCCCAGCACTTTGGGAGGCCAATGCGGGTAGATCACTTGAAGTCAGGAGTTCAAGACCAGCCTGGCCAACATGGTGAAACCCGTCTCTACTAAAAAACACAAAAATTAGCTGGGCGTGGTGGTGCAAGCCTGTAATCCCAGCTACTTGGGGGGCTGAGGCAGGAGAATCGCTTGAACCTGGGAGGCGAAGGTTGCAGGGAGCTGAGATCTCGCTACTGCGCTCCAGTGTGGGTGAGACTGAGACTCCGTGTCAAAACAAAACAAAAATTATCTGAGCATGATGGCTGACACCTGTAATCCCAGCTACTTGAGGAGGCTGAGGCAGGGGAATTGCTTGAACCTGGGAGGCTGAGGTTGCAGTGAGCCAAACATGCCACTGCAGTCCAGCCTGGGAGACAGAGCAAGACTCTGTCTCAAAAAAAAAAAACAAAAAACAAAAAAAAAACAAACAAAAAAAAAGATAAGAAATGGGAATTTGAATTAGAACTTATTTGCTTCTTTAGCTTACTGTAATTATTTGAATTTACAGTTTGGACATGAGAAAGGAATTATTATATTTCATTTGTCCCCCTAAACTTGACCCCACCCCCACACAAACAGGCGGTTGAGTCTACTGGTTAAGTGTGGACTCTCGATCCAGGTAAACCTCTATTCTAATCCCACCTCCCCACTTACCATGCCCCTTACTTTGAACAAGTTACTTAACATCTTTCAGCTCCACTTTCTACTTCTGTAAAATGGGGATAACCAGCTACCTTACAAACTTGTAGAAGATTCAATGTCAAAATGTATTTAAATTACATATTATAGCCCTTAGTAATAACAGCTAGAGCTAGTGTTAATTAAGCACGTGCTGTGTTCAGCAAGTATGTTAATTCACATGATCCTGTGACAATATGAGGTAGGTATTTTCATTATTCTTATTGTAGAGAAGAGGAAACTATGGCCCAGAGAAGATTAATAATAATATCATTTATATGACCTTATTTTACTGCATAATAGCTTTAATAAAATTTTAATACAGTTTTACTACCAAAAAGAAGTAAGATTTTAAAAATTTGTTTTTAAAGACTTGCTTAAGCTTGCCATATTTTATCCAAAGAAGTGGATAAGAGATGGACAACCTCTAATTCTTTTATCTTACCTATCACTGTCTTAGCCCAGTGAATTTCAGAAGGTTAAGAAGGAAGACAGTTTTAGGTCTTAAGACTAAGGAAGAGTATCATAAAGGGAATTTTCTTAAAGGGAAGGAACAAAGGGTAAGTGTAAATGTTCTTTTCTAGAAAGATGACCTTTCCTGGCTTTCTAAGAGGTGTCCTTGGGACCTTATTTACTATTTTTTGAGTGCAGGCTCCTGGTCATGTTAATTGTGGGAAATGTAAAAGATGATGATGATGGGCAGTTCAGAGTTTTCAATGAAGGAAGAATGGGTCCTTCCATTGATTTCTTGTGTTCTCTGAGACTTCGGCTGATCCAGCACTTGCTTTAGGGAGTACCAGTTGAATAGTTATCCCACAGGTCTGCTAGTTTATTTATAAATTCATATTCTAAATCACTTCTGAAGGGCTTTCAGTTGCCACACTGACCCTGAGCCAGCATGTATTTTAGAAGCATGGTGTTTTCAGAGGCAGTAAACAGATTTCCCACTGTCTACCATATTGAGAGTATCCTGCTCAGTTCTTGGTTCTACTTTTAAGAGGGGTATTTCAGTAACATCTGGAGACAGCAACTGTGGGTCACGTGAACATGGGAGACTTCATCTCTGGTTATCCTGGACACTGACTTATTTCTCTAGGAGGGTAATTATGAGAGAGTGGTGGGTTTGTGCATCGCAAAGTCTTGGGAACAGCTCACAAATTTGGGTTTCTTTGGGTTAGAAAAGAGTTAGAATAGCTGTTTTTAAAAAATTAGAGGATTTTCTGGGGAGATTACAATACTTCCAGAGATCAGAGCCAGGACTAGTGGTTGGAAGTTATGATACAGCAGATATTTGTTACCAGTGGAAAGTGTCCGAAAATGGAATGTGTTCCCACATGGGGTAGTGAGGTTCTCAGTGTCAGAAGTGCCTCGGATGTTTCATGGAGATTCCTGCTCTGGGTAGAATATTGGAGCTAATGATTTCTAAGATCCTTGTAAAAAATAGCAGAATATCATAGAAAGCTGAAGTCTGCTCACCATCCCCAGTCTTAGCCTATTCCCCAGTCCTCTAAATGAACTCCTAGGAAGTATCAGTACTGCTTTATGGGAGTATCTTTTTCCTCCATCAATGGCAGGGAATACTGAATGTATTGTAGTTTGCTTTTTTTTTTAATCCAACAATATGTTTGGGAGATCTTTCTGTATTTGTTCTTAAAGATTTTTTGAAAAGCTTAATTCTTTTATTTTTAACCTTTGCAATGAATTCCACATACTGCCATGCCAGAGTTTATTTAGCCATTTCCTTACTGATTGACATTTAGGTTGTTTCAAGTTTCTTATTCTTATCAACCATGTAGTAATGAACTGTTGAGCATGCCTCCTTGTATTTTTCTATGATAGCTAGCTAGCTAGGTTTTTTTTTTTTTTAATTTTAATTTCTACTTCTTACTATGGAGTGGAAAAGTTGTTAGTTGTGATTTCCCTCCCAAAGTCAGAAAAGTCATTGTGGATATCGAAGGGAAGTAGCATTATTAAAACAAAATAGGAATGATCGTCCTAATCTTTTATAAAACCATAGTAGCTTATTGTGTTCCTGATGGTTTCAGATGTATAAATCTGCTCTACCACCTAACAAAGTGATGAGCTTGAACAAAAGAAAGGAGGCTTTTTTGCCTCCTTTCTTTTCATCTGGCCGACTCTAGCACAATGGTGAGTGTATATTGGACCCTTTGATACAGGACTGTTTGTACTTCCTCTTGTGCCAGTTCGACACAGACATGGAAAAGGCCCTCTTGAAGCAGGATTTCCTAGAGCATGGCAGGAGGACCAGCTGCATCCCAGTACCCCATGACCCTGGTTAACAGTACTGATTCCCAGGTCTTCCCAGACACTAAATCAGAATTTCCAGGAATCAGGGTTCTTATCAGTAAGCTCCCCCAGTAATCTGACACACACCTAGTTTGAAAACTACTATTTTCAGCCAACCACATTGGTTTTAAGGGGCCAGAGGAACAACTAGCTGACAAATTACAAAAGGGAGAAGTTTTTCAGGGAAGGAAAAAATTACTGCTGATGACACTAAGAAACTTTCTTTTGCTATTTTCTGAAAGTTTTTAGATGAATGGAATATCTGAAAACATAGTTTTGATAATATTAAAAGCATCGTGCGGGTGGGTCATATACAACATCTGGTATTATCACCTAGTTGTTTTATATCATTATTAAACCAGGCTTTATTAGATGGGTATGATTTCTGTTGAAAACTAATAATTACATATGATATTTCTGAAATATTATATCTATTTTCTTTTTTCCCCAGGCTGCTCTTTATGGATGTGGCTGCTGGGCTGAAAATACTGGAGCTCATAACCCCTACTCCACAGCTGTGAGTACCTCAGGTATTTGCTGCTTTCATAACCATTTCTCGTAACTTCAACCTTGTCAACCATTTAATGATTAAAAGCAATATTTATAGGTAAACATAGAGCATGTGCTATGACAGTGTATGGATGTGGGAAAGATCTTCAGTATTTGGGAGGTTTTAAGGGTTGTTTTGTATCACAGTGTAAATACTATACTTTGCTAACATTTTCTTTTCTTTTCTTTTTTTTGTTTGAGTCAGAGTCTCACTCTGTCCCCAGGCTGGAGCAGTGATGTGATCTTGGCTCACTACAACTTCTGCCTTCCGGGTTAAAGTGATTCTCAGCCTTCCAAGTAGTTGGGATTGTAGGTGTGCACCACCACACCCGGCTAATTTTTTGTATTTTTAGTAGAGATAGGGTTTTGCCATGTTGGCCAGGGTGGTCTTGAACTCTTGACCTCTAGTGATCCGCCCTCCTTGGCCTCCCAAAGTGGTCGGATTACAGGCGTAAGCCACTGCGCCCGGCCCACTAATATTTTCAGTACAACTCTGGAGTTAACTATGGTTAATTATATTTTTATAGATATTTTTTCTAATGATCCATGGTGCTGCCAAGTTTAGACAACAAAAGACATAAAAGTAGCAGGTCATTTCAAAAATTAACAGATAATCTCTTGGGTAAAATGTTGATGTAAAACTTACAAGGTGCATTTCCAAATATATAGTTTATGACATTCAGTCCTTGAATGACGCTTTCATTGTAATACAGGCCCTCTTTTTTTATCTGTATTGTAAAGGCATTATTTAGTACAAAGTGTGTGTGTGTGTGTGTGTGTGCGCGCGTGCGTGCAGGAGATGGGGAACACGAGAGTTTTAATAGGCAGAATGGTTGTTGTCTATTTCCATACTTTAATCATACCTGTGCCAGGTGTACATAAAGCCTTTTCTCATTATGTGGTGAAACCTCTGGTTGACAAAATATTGATTCATTCCTGTTTCATGTTATCCCTCAAGTTACAGTCCTATTCCTTTCTCTCTAACAGTCTCAGGCTTTATTGGGAGAGTGGACAAATATGGCTTCTTTTCCTACCTTTCTATCTCCAATTTCTTATCACAATGGTCTCTGCCCCACTACACTAACAAAGCACCCAGTCAAGTAGCCCTTTTATCCTGCTTTCTGCCTACTCTTTCTGCGATCTCTGATGCAGGTGACTTTTCTTTTTGCATGTAGCATAGATCCTGGAACCCTCTTGGTTTGTCTGCCTCTCTGACCTGTTCCATCTTGGCCGCCTTCACAGATTCTTACTCCTCTGTCCTCCCATTGCCAACAGCCCCAGGGTTGGGTCTTTGGTGAATTCTGTGCTTTCTCCTGCTGATTTCTTGTTATTTCTGCTGTTCTCATGATTTCAGCTTGTCTCTCTCGGGATTGGCTTCCATGTCTGTATCTACTTTGGACTTTTGAGGTGCAGTGAGTCCTTTCTGACTTCCTGGTGGACATGTTCCTATAGGTGCTATGTATACATATCACACTCATCAGGTTCAACAGAACATTTCGTTCTTCGTCCACACCCTGTGCCACCTTTCTCCTGTGTCCTCTATATCTTTTATTGCTCTTATTCTCCTATCCTTTGCTCAGACTTGAAATCTTGGCACCATTCTCATATTTGTGGTTTCTTTCTGTTTCTTCTTTCCTGACTCTGTTCTTTCAGACTCATGTTCCTATGCCTGCTTATCTTAGCAGCATCCTGACCTAGCTCCATTTCTTACATCAGTGGAAAAACGTGGTTGTGAGCTATTGGCCTATCAGGAGAAGTCTAAAGATGAATTAAGATTGAATCGAATCCATACTACTTTAATGGTCAAAAAATTGTTTTTAGTCATTTTTGAAGGAATGAGCATAATGTAATAATATGAGTTAATTTTTAAATTTAATTTAATATTCGTGGCACATGAAAACCTTGATGCATAATGTTTACAAATTAGGCTGTGAACATAATTTAGTATGGCCCTGTGTCTATGGAAAATTGTAGTATTTGAACAAACCAAAGACAAATTCATCGTTTCATTTGGATTTTCCCAAAGAAATCTCAGTTGGAATCATGTATTATGAGAGGTTTGTTTTTGGTCAATATGTTGTTCAGTGAGATAGGTTATTGTTTAGACATTACTTTCATATGTAGATGTTAGGAGAATTGGATTCTATTCTAAACTGAAATCCTGAGAGCCTGCCTGCTTGTGTCAATTTGGAAAAGAGATTTCCAAGTCCACCACTCCCCTACTCTTATTTTAAAATAGGTGATGTGCAAGTTGGAATAAGAACATACTCCATGGATTTGATTCTATTAAGTAGAATGCAAAGAATGGGTAGGTAAAGTTAAAATTGTAAAATTAGGTTTTTCTCTTCCTTTTGAATATTTCCTCCTTTGCCTATCCTGTGTCAGTTGAAGATAGTTTCATATGACTAAAGATACCTTTAGCTTTCCAGTTCATGACATCCAGTGTAGCTTTTTAACTTAGATACCCAGCTTGTCATGTTATACGCTTCCCAAGCTAAAAGACTAACCTTCATCAGCCCACAGAACCTGGGGATGATAGACTAAATCTCCAGTCCCTCCTGTCCATTGGAGTTTGTGTGATTGCTTCACTCTTGTTTCTCATGGGGTCGTTGCTAAGAAGTTGACAATGGAAACACATGGTAGAGTTGGGTGATCAAGTCAGAAGAAAGGTGGAGCACTGGATTTTGCAACTGTTTGGCCAAAATAGAGAAGACTTGTGCCTTAGGCTGCTGCAGAAAATCCATTTTAAGTTTATGTATATTAGAAGGTGGTAATTGAAAGGCGGAGAAAAGATAGTTATGGTTAGGATAGGGCTCTCCCAAGGCCAGATGGGTGATTTGGTCATTAGCCTGAGGGATAAACTCTAGCATCTTGTTCTCATCACTGGGTGGGGAGAAATGAGTAAGGACTGGAGGAGAGGGGGTGGAGTAGCAGGAGCTGACCTTTCAAACTCTGACTAATGTTCTGGCATCATAGGAATTTGCCTAGCTAGGGATAGAGTAGAGCAGACACAGGGGTTCCTGTCCAGACTCTTCCAGACCCACTAGCTGTGGAGCCTGGGCAAGGGGTTATTTGTAAAACCAGAATAATATCTACCATTACTCTAAGGGGTAAGTAAGTTGACATACACAAGGCTTTTAGTGCATTTCTTTTCCCAGAGTAGGGGCTCAATACTTACTGTATTCCACTGAATCTGAGTCATCATTCTTTATCAGATACACCATTATTTTTATACCACTAAGGAAACAAAAGACTATCAATTAAAGTATAACACACTGCCTTGTCATCACTTAATGCATGGTGGTTGCTTTACAGGAAAATATAGAATTAGGAATGTTCCACCAGTGAGAAGTATTTGCTTCACTGATAACAAAGTCATGCCTCATTGCCATTTCCATACCTTTCTGTGTGTACAATTATTTTTAATTTGAATTCTATATCATACTGTAATCCTTCTGAACACATTTTGAACAACAGTTTAACTCAACACATGTAGTTCCAACATGGCACATAACTGAAGGGTCAACACTTGCAAACCGCTTGCATCTAGAGGCAGTGGCAGCTCTGTCACCACTGCAGCCTGGAGGATAACATGGGAGGATGCATCAGTTATAACACACCTCCTGAATCCAGAAGTTTAAAACTGTGAAAAAAGTATATTTTAGAATTGATAAATTATAGTAAAAGCTTTTCTTATTCTCAGCTTTTTCTTGAAAATAAATAATTTGTTTCGGACTCTCTTGAGGCAGTAAGATAAACTCTTAAGGAAAGGAGGGCTGTGGGTATATTTGTGTCTCCTGAGTGCCTGACACACAGCCTTGTACAGGGTGAGTGCCCAGTATACAAATAAAAATTAAGAAATGTATGTGCGGGTCCTTCCTCTGAGAAGAATGCTTGCTTTTTCAAACAGATTATTCACTATGGACTTTCTTTAAATAGGATTTTAAAATATGATTCAATTTGCCAAATTTGGATTCACACATAATTTTTCAGTAACACAGCAAATGCATAATGTAAGATATATCTGGGATCTGTCTCTGGCTGTGGAAAGGAGGAGCAGATTGAAGATTAGAAGATCAGAAGGAGGAGAAAAATGCAAGAGATTAAGTTTATGCTTTGGTTTACCTTAACATTGCTTTTCTGTTACTTGTCCATACAGTTCTTTTTTCTTTCCTTTTTTTTTTCTTTTTCTTTAAAAAAAAAACAAAAACCAAAAACCTCCTTTGCCTATCCTGTGTCAGTTAGAGAAAAAAAAAAAAAAAAAAAAAAAACCCTCTGTCGCCTAGGCTGGAGTGAATGCAGCGGTGTGATCATGGCTCGTTGCAACCTTCGACTTCTGGGCTCAAGTGATCCTCCTGCCTCAGCCTTCCAAGTAGGTAGGACTACAGGTGCACACCATCACACCTGGCTAATTTTTAATTTTTTTGTAGAGACAGGGTCTTGCTGTGTTGCCCGGGTTGGTCTTGAACTCCTGGGCTCAAGTGATCCTCCCATTTTGGCCTCAAAAAGTGCTGGAAACAGTGAGTACAGGGGCACTGATGGCAATTGACTAAGATCAGAAGATGTAGGTGTCATTCCCCCTCCTTAAAGTGTTCTGGCATGAAGAAAGACCTGCTACCTTGTTTCTGCTGTGAGGCCAAAGGATTTCTGATTTTCTCAGTTCTTTGCTTTTCAAGGTCGTGGCTCTGGGCATTTCTAGAAACCTGACGGCCGAGAGGGCTGTGGTCAGGACTTGCAAGGAGTAGTTTCAAAAGTAGATGGGATTAAAAAAATACAGGCCGGGCGCGGTGGCTCAAGCCTGTAATCCCAGCACTTTGGGAGGCCGAGACGGGCGGATCACGAGGTCAGGAGATCGAGACCATCCTGGCTAACACGGTGAAACCCCGTCTCTACTAAAAAATACAAAAACCTAGCCGGGCGAGGTGGCGGGCGTCTGTAGTCCCAGCTACTCGGGAGGCTGAGGCAGGAGAATGGCGTGAAC